TTTTTGTCAGTTGGTAGAAATTATTATAAATACTTATCCCGTCAAATACATATTCCTACAAGATAAGTCTCTGTGGCGCAATCGGTTAGCGCGTTCGGCTGTTAACCGAAAGGTTGGTGGTTCAAGCCCACCCAGGGACGATTTTTAATACGTCATTATCAGTTCGTATACATAAATTTAAAAACTCTAGAAAAATTGTTAAAAACCAAGATCGCAATCAATTAGTGGCTTCGGCTGTTAGCAGATGTTTTTTTTTTTTTTGAACTTGTTCAACTGACATTTAGTTTTCGACTTACGTTTTCCCTTTTACGAATTTAACCCAAGGTTTTTCAGCTGTTCGTGGAACCCATCGAATGCAAGTGTGTTTATGTAATTCTTTAATTGCTGCCTCGATAGGCTCCCGGAATCCTTCACTCTCTAGAATTAAAAACAACAAAATAAAGAACTACGATTAATTCCGGTCAATCTCGAACCTCTGGTCATGCCCCTCTTACTGCGCATGCTCGACGAAAAGCAAATTTCTCGCTCTCTGTATGGTTCATTAAATAAACACACTACTATGTTTTTTTGTTTGTTTTTTGGTGTTTTTCTCTGGTTACGAGATTGGGTTACCATATCAACGAAAATTTATGGGTGTTGAATTTACTACAAAGAAAAAGTTAAGTAGTTTGATAGCGCTAGATTGTACTGACTCTGTGAATTCCTTTTTTCTTCATTGTCTTGTCGGAACTATTTACTGATAATTAGCATTACTTGGCTATTTCTTTTTCAGGTATTTAATGTTTACACTGTATTGGTATTGTATACTCGTACTGATAGGGCTTACCAAGCGATGAGTGTATTTCATAGGGGATGACTTTGGTCCGCCATAACCCTTGACGCATGCGCTGTGCATTACGTTTATTCATTCTTGAAGTTTGATGCAGAAATTCGAGGTCTTCTGGCTCGAGTTGAATGTCGCCTTCAAATAGACGAGATGTCGCGTCCGCATCTGAAACAATCTGAACGATTTAGACTTAAATCTATTCTTAAGGCTGCAACAACATTATGACACAATTTATGATCACAATTTGGACTTGGAAAATGGGATTGAATGCACTAGGATTAATATAAATGCATGGGAATGGAATTAAGATCTTGAACAAAACTGAAGTTATTATGTGAATTTTGAGTGGGATGCAAAAACTGGGAAATGGGATTCGTCTCTTCAGGACCCTCTACGAATACGAAATTTCTTGTTAGGCATGATAAATCAAATAGCAGGCTTGAAAGCCAGTCGAAACTTTGTCAGAATTACAATTGGAAATGTCAATATTGGTACATATGTTTCTGTGTCAACATTTTGAAGTAACGGAAGCAAGAGGTTGGTTTAAAAGATGATATTGCATGGGCTCTTGGAGATACGAATTCCATCTTCTCGTTAGTGAGCGGAATCTCCTTGCGCCAATACAATTTTCTTTTTCTCAATTTTTCTTTAATTTCGCCTTAAGGACACAAACTAACCTTTATTGGTCTTTATAATGATATCAGCAGCAGATTTGTCGAGTGCTTCTTTGCCTTAAAAAGGAAAAAAAAATTGTCAAGGCGCGCGTCCTCAGATAATACAACGATTTGAGAACGGTATTAATGCATATATGTGTGTATATTTTGAGAATTGGGACTAATATTAAAATGATAACTAAAACTAAAGTTCTTATTTCATTTCATTTTTTAGTTAAAAGCCATATTTTCACAATTTTCTCTTTTCTATTCATTTCTTCGATTCTGCCTAATATTTTCTATTTGGATCATGACTTGATAGATTGTCTTACGTTTATAGTATATGACTGGCTACTTACTTAGGTGTTTCCGCAGCGGGACGGATAATGTTCTTGCGAGTAACAAAAGGAAAATGGCGATATTTTGTAGCCGCAGCATGCTTTTTAATTCGGCCAAAGCTCGACTGCAAGAGTGGAAGATCTTGAAAACCAGGTGTAATGACAAGTAAACAAATGTATTCTGTACAAATATATGTCACATTTTACCCTCAATCTTGTCTGATTGTGGGTAATCGGTGTGCTGTTTGACCAATAAAAACAAACGTTTGCCTCAAATAATGATTGACTGGTATGACAAAATGAAAAATAAGAATAAATTCATAAGAAAAACTGCAAAAACGGGAAAAACAACTTAGAAATGAAAAAAAAAATAAAGGACAATAATCCATCAAAACTTAAAAAGTCAATTAATCCTTTTGCCAAGTTTTTGCGACCCAGGAGATCACTGATATTGCTGCAATTTTGTGGCGAAGACAGTTCGCACGAGGCAAAGAATACTTAAGGATACTTTTGCTTGTTGTTGTAGGTTTATCACAGAATCTGCGTAAAAGCGACTGTCGATAATCACATTAGAGCGGATTTCGTATGAGTGGGACACCGTTACCGCACGGTTACCGCACAGTTACCGGATCTGGCCTGCACAATTTTGGTGAACCAATAGGGCACTAGAATTTGGTTACAGTACGATTACGGTCACAGTACAGTACCGTCCGTTTCCCACTCATACGAAATCCGCTCTATAGCGAAATACACCTATTTCAAAACGCGTTGTCGTATCACCAAGACACAGTCCGCAGTCTTTGAGCCTGCAAAGGATCCAAGCGTAATTCATATTATCATCAAAATATATTTGCATGTGTGGTTTGAATTCAATGGCGGCAAACACTACCAATATACTATTGCGGGTATCGAACTCATCGAACAAGTCTCTCTGAAAAATGTTCCACGTTTTCAAACCGTCAATGAGCTTCAAAAGTATTTTTGATATAAGACTCACAATTATTTTAGATAAGACACAGGAGTGCAGGCCCGTAGCGTGGACTTTTTGGCTAGTACGCACATGTCAGGGACAGCGGCACATATTTTGGATCTGGGGGTCTAACGACCGCCAAAGACGGGAGTATTAAGGGAGTCTGGACCTCCACAAGGATAATAATAACTCTTGGAAATGCGATTTCCAACGTTTCGAGAGACATCGAGGGCATATCAAAGGAATCAATTTTATGTGAATTTTTCAGTAATTTTTGTGAAAATGTGAATGTTTCCTTGCCACTAGTACGCACGTGCGTATATGCGTAAAGGACGCTACGMCCCCCGAGTGCAAACAATAAAACTGTGAAAAATTTTAGGAAAAATTTTTAGTTATTAAATGGTGAATTGCATTGAAAGTGCAAATTCCTTTTTCTGCTTGGTCCCAGTGAAGCCAAGATTGATTAGCACAGCCCTAGCCCTACTTAAAATATTTTTTTTATAAAGATTATGCAAAACACTGTTTGGTTCGAGTGTAGTTATTAGATTATTAGCTTCCAATAGTTTAAATCATGACATCATGCGACAAACTAATCATAGGGAGACATGGTAAGCGCACACTTTATTTTCCAAATGTAACTTCTAGGAATAACTCCCCCGTACGATTTACAAAAGCCTTGTTCAAAGGACTCACACAGGTTCCTGGGAGCCATATATCTGTTCTTATGTCCCAGCCAGCTGTAAGTCACAACTGGTTGTCAGCGAGAAATTCTGGCAAAAAGAACTCTCCAGGCAAAAAATACATTCTAAGAATTTTTCCCAGGAAAATAAAAATGTTCATACTAAAAACAGATAAGTCCATTTAAACATAAAACCGTTTGTCAGGAACAAAATTATTTTAAAGAAGGAAGGGCGCCACATTTGCTTGTGAGATTGTCAGCTCAAAATCTCTTTTACAGGGAAAAAAAAGTCTTACAAGAACAGTTATTTAGAAGTACAGACACCGTCGGCTCCTCAGTGTTCCTGAAGCAAGACGGTATTGAATGCTTCATTTGTATCAATTCAATTTGCGTACCGCATGCACGATTTACTAAATACAACTAAATAGAACTATTTAGTTTGTACAGTTGCACGGATTAAGTGCGATCACTCTACTACTAAGAGATGTATTAGTGTTAAGTGAAGTAAAAAAAAAAAAAAAAACATGAAATATAGATATTACTCTGATACAGTAGAGTGATCGCACTTAATCCGTGCAACTGTACAAACTAAATAGTTCTATTTAGTTGTATTTAGTAAATCGTGTATGCAGTACGCAAATTAAATTGAATTGATATAAATGAAGCATTCAATACCGTCTTGCTTCAGGAACACTTTTAGTACAAATTAGTACTACTTAGATTTTGTACAGTTGCACGGATTAAGTGCGTTCACTCTATGCCCTAATTGTATTACTTTCTTTTTTGTCTATTTGGCTTCACTCTAATATCTAATTCACGAGTTTGTTTACTGGCTCTACAATTTTAATGTAACCGCATAAAGAACCATTTCAGTAATAGGTTGCATCTGATGTTAAACACTTAATACACTTACACTTACTTACAATCACTTTAATCAATTTATTCCTGGACTCAACACAAAATATCAGTTTAGTCTTAAACAGCATTTAAAATTATTCTTTACAAATAGGACTTAATCATTAAAGATGCTTAATAAAATCTTGTATAAATTACATTACTTTATACTAGTTTTAAGAATGTATCAGGAAAAAAAAAAATACTTATTGTCATAGTTCTACCAGCGCTCTCTCATTTTAATTCAGGCCTTTTAGTGAAAGCTGCAGTTTTCTTTTCATTCTTTCTTGCACTGTTCAACGCAATGCCAGTGCAAGGTAAAAATGGTATAAAGGAGACTTCATAGTTGCAGCAAATGAGTTCAATGTCCAAAACTGTTTGACATTAGACTCTTCTAAGCCATGTTTCAATATTTATGTATTATTTCACTTTGAGTTTTATTGCTGCTGTTCTTAGTTAATTTTTTCAAATACATCAATATTCCCTTAGCATTCTCATTGCAGTTAAAAATCCTTGCACCACAAAAAGCGATTCAATTATGGATCATACATGTACATGAACAGCAGTGATTGGCTGTTATTATGACTGACAGCACAGCAAATGAACAGCAGTGATTGGTAGTGATTGGCTGTCATTATGACTGACAGCACAGTAAATGAACAGCAGTGATTGGCTGTCATTCTGACTGACAGCATAGTAAATGAACAGCAGTGATTGACTGTCATTATGACTGACAGCATAGTAAATGAACAGCAGTGATTGGCTGTCATTATGACTGACAGCACAGCAAATGAACAGCAGTGATTGGCTGTCATTCTGACTGACAGCACAGCAAACATCCATATCAATGCTTAAGTTAGTTGTCTTGATAACAAGAGTTTTCAATTTGGTACTAATAGCATATATATATATAAAGGGTTTAAGATAAATAGCATAAACAGTAGCATGTTGATAAATTAATGAGCTGTGCTGTATCAATAGAAATTGTATTTTTATGTTACAGTAATTTAAACACATATTGAAGAACACAGCTCAAATTTAATCTGACAGAGGAAAGTGAAAATATATCATAAAATAGAATAGGTAATACTATATAATAGATAAACTAATACAGAGATTTATGCTGGCTGGTACTTCTGTAACTTGCTGCCTGTTTGATAATATTATTTTCACTTTACAGGAGAATTGAAACATCACATGGCATAATGTGTAATACCAGCCTTGATGATCTACAGCAAATGTTCAGTTTGTCTTCACTTCTCAGGCACATCGTCATCCTCTTTCTTTTTWTCTTCTTTTGAATCCTTTTCTTTCTCAGTTGATGTCGATGCTTCACCGGTAGTGTCTTCTTTCTTATCCTCCACTTTTTCAGTTTCCTTTTCTGTTTCTTTACTTTCTTTCACATTCAACCCTTCAAGTTCTTTCGCTAATTTCTCGCTTTCCTGTTCTTCTTTTGGCTTAGTTTCTGTTAGTAACTTCTGGCATTCTTCAAACTTGTCCCGGAACTTTTGAGCATCTGAGCAAATAAGGTAAATTTACAATGTAGTAAAACTGATCAAATAATATAACCTACAAACTATTTAATATATCCTTCTCACACTTCAATGTTACTGCAAAAGTAACTGCTCACTTTTGATATTCTGATTGACTAAACATCAAAAGAAAAACATCACTTCCTTGGAGTTTTGTCTTTTTAATAGTTATTAAAATAACTATTCTTTTGTACATTGTAGGGGGACTCAAATTTGGTAACTTATAAGTCTGAGCGTAACAGGCAATGAAACTGAGTATAAAAATAGTTGAAAATATCAAACTTACTTTCTGCATTTCCAAATTTTGCAGCTAAAGTCTCAGATTTACATTCCTCATCAGCAAAGTCAGCTGCTACAGACCACACCCATGCTCTATCACTGCCGCAGTTTGGCTTTAGGTTCATATCTTTAGTAACTGTAAACAAAATTTAAAATTAAAAAAAAAAATGTTTCAGTGCAAAACACAAAATCATGTCCGACATTCGTGCCGGCAAGGAAGGCTTTGATAATGTTTATACGTCATGTTTATTGATCAGGAGAGGCCTTGGACATAAAATAGAAAATGACATCAGCAGCTGTAAAAATTGAAGGAAGTATCAAAATGGCATTTGCAAAAAGACTTTTAGTGAGCAAGAAAAGCTTCATAATACTTTTACCTTTATTCATGAAAACAATGTTCTGGTTTTGACAATAAGTTAAAACTCTACACATTGTTTCGCCACCACCATTTACAATACTGTC